CTGCCGTAGCTGTCACTCCGGAGTGAAGCCGCTCGTGACGCACCTTCACGTCAGGCCAGAAAATTTGGAGTCGGGTTCAAGAAAATCAAACGTTCTGTTGTTGCGGAGTTTAATCTTCCTTTAGACGACCCCCCCCGTCATCCCCTCTCTGACCCCCGCCCCCCAACATTATAAACACTGTCTCACCCAACATTCACTTCTACTCTACTATTTTTTCTTTCTTTTCCACCGTTCTGAAAGCAGCGCAAAGATCCGATCAAATGTTTCAACCAAAATATTGATTCATCGTGTAATCCTGGACGGAGGCGAACACCAGGGGGAGGAAAAGAGCCCAACAGAGGGCCTTAAATTATCCCAGAGTACAGCTCAGTGTAACGTCTAGACAGCTATTCTCAGCTCTTCCCACAAAAGTATTTCTGTGCGGCTGCAGCCAGGCGGCGGATGCAGATGCCGGGTGGCGGAGCCGGGGCCGGGGGCCGGGGGGTTCCTGACGGACGACCCGTGAACGGTAATAAAAATATCAAAACCTCAGAGCCTGACTGAACAAACACAAACCACATCTGCAGTAAAGGGAACAGTAGTTCACAGTGGGAGGGGGTCATAAAGGCAGAAGGGGGGCCGTAAGTGCCACAGCAGGGCCACTTCCCACAGATTAGCCCTCGACTGGAGTTGAGGGGGGGGGCGGACTGAAGGGTGACCTCATGCAGAGCGGCCATTATACGATGAAGATGATGAAGTGATGGTGGTCGATTAGAGGCAGATGGAGACGGATGTTCTTCAGGATGGAGACGGACGGAGTTCTCTGCGGTTCCAAAGACCTTCATGACCTTCTCCTCACAGCGGGACAACGACTTTTTCGGGCTTTTCCTAAACCGCCCTCCCCCAACCTCCGTGGTGATGGTGCGAGGAGTCAAGGGCGTGGCCACCAGGGCCTTACCAGCTGTCAGCCCCAGGTGGACCAGGTGTCTTTAAGGTGAGGAGGAGGAGGAGGAGGGATCCAAGTCACAGCCTGGATGAGCAGAGAGCGTGTCCGGACAGAGCAGGATTAACAGAACCAACCAGGCGTGGCTGGTTCTGAGACGGATGACTAGTCCTTCCAGGTGAGCCTCCTCCTCGTCCTCCTCCTCAGCGAGGAGGGAGACGCGACTGATCTGGTCTCCGACTCGTACGTATGCACCAGTTTTTTTTTTACAGACGATGGTCTTCTCTAGACTGGTACTGGATCTGCCCCAGAACCACAGCCGTTCTGGGTCCGTCCACTGGACTAGTTTTCTGACAGCTGATGAAGCTCAGGTCTGGTCCAGTCCGCTCCGGGTTCCAGGTCAGAGGTCGAAGGCCAAGAAGCGGCGTTCACACACACACCCAAAAAAAGATAAACAGTGACGAGACGAAAGCTAGGACTGGATCTTAACCAGAACCAGAACCAGAACTGAGAACAAACATGAGGTCCGATTTACCCATAGTTCACACCTGGTATACGACTGATCTGACATCACAGGTCACTGATGACCGGGGTCTGGGGTCACGTGACCACTTGGTTTCCTGACGGTGTGACCCACAGCGGAGGAGCCCACGACCTGGGCCTCATTAATACAGTACGTGAGAGTTGGACTCAATCGCCCAACGTCGGCCGCCTACGATCAGACCTCTCGTCAAACAAATGCCTTTTTTTTGACACAAACTCTGGAAATCCAAACAAACACAACAGACACTCAAAGCCATCATTATCAGGCCTCTAACGCGGACCAGATGGAGCGAGGTGAACATACCAAGTCCTTGAGGTAATACCAGTCCTTCAGCCCCATGGTCCTCTCTGCTCTCGGCCTCTGATATCTGTTGTTTTTTTAATGAAGATTTAACGAAACAACGATGTCGTCTTTTCAATGACGGTTTCAATTCGGATCCTCGACGTTCTCTCCGTTCCACCTCTGGTACCTGGTGTACCATGTTTCCCATGTGGGGCTCGTGGATGGTTTGTGTCCAGAACAGGAGCCCGCAGATAAATCCTCCTCCTCCTCCTCTTCCTCCTCCTCCTCCTCCTCCTCTTTCTTCCATTAGTCTGCGTGGACAACGCTGATGAAGTCGATTTCACGCCGTCCTCCTCCCAGCTCCCACCTCCAGATGTTTGCATCCCGGTCCCGACTCTGCAGAGAGATGGCGTCCACACTGCTGGACTGAGGGGTGGGGGGGTGGCTGGTTAATGGTCTTGACTACCATTTATTATAATATGTCAGAAAGTTGCCCCTTCAGAGAGATTGACGTGGGGGCCGGGGGGACATGGATAATCTTAAGCAGGCAGATGTTCGACCAGATCTCCTCCTCCTGTATACCGCTGTTTCCCAAAATTTTTATTCTGGGGACTCATATTTTTAAAAGTCACAAACCTTCACGACCCACTCTTTGGGAAACAATGCTGTAGACCGCAGAGCCGCCTCTATTGGAGACCATGGTCAGTCCAACCATACGCTGCACCACGGGCCGGTCTTTATTGGTAACATGTGTTGATTGATTTAGGTTTAGAAGAGGGGCCAGAGCCAGGGTTTGGACCTCAGTCGTCCAATCAGCTGATAGTTGATATTTCTGACTGGTTCTCCACATCTGATGTACAGTGGACCGTCGAGATACCGTTCTAAGCTGTTCTACAAAAGCTGTTCTACAACAGCACTGGTACCTCGATATACTCGTATCTCGATCCGATCGTAACTCGATCCGATATTATCTCGAGCCGATTGTGTCTCGATTGAATTTTTCATTTTTATTGTTATAAAAATGGGTAAAATAACTCAGCGAGGGACAGTGAGCGAGACAGCGCCACAGTGTGGAGTGGAAAAATCTTGCAAAAGTTGCTTACTCGAAACTTAGGGAACTCGAATTTTGGGTAGCTCTTACCTTGAAGCCTCACTGTATTCAGTTTCCTGTTGGTCCAGGTATTTGGTCCAGGTCTTTGGTCTTTGGTCTAGGTCTTTGGTCCAATTCTTTGGTCCATGTCTTTGGTCTAGGTATTTGGTCCAGCTATTTGGCCCAGTTTTTTGGTCCAGGTCTTTGGTCCAGTTCTTTGGTCTAGGTCTTTGGTCCAATTCTTTGGTCCATGTCTTTGGTCTAGGTCTTTGGTCCATGTCTTTGGTCTAGGTATTTGGTCCAGGTATTTGGCCCAGTTCTTTGGTCCAGGTCTTTGGTCCAGTTCTTTGGTCCATGTCTTTGGTCTAGGTCTTTGGTCCAGTTCTTTGGTCCATGTCTTTGGTCTAGGTCTTTGGTCCAGTTCTTTGGTCCATGTCTTTGGTCTAGGTATTTGGTCCAGGTATTTGGCCCAGTTCTTTGGTCCAGGTCTTTGGTCCAGGTATTTGATCCAGGTATTTGGTCCAGGTCTTTGGTCCGACGCCGTTTTCAAACTGTTGTCGTTCTTTTTTTTTGTTTCCCCCCAGCTGCAGGATCCCGTGCCGCTGGTCAACCCCGGGGTCTCTAAGCTGTCCCTCCGGGGGGACAACAAGCTCCTTGCCTCCGCCGGCTGGGACCATCGGGTTCGGCTGTTCGCCTGGAAGAAGCTGCGCCCCCTGGCTGTGCTCCAGTACCACACGGACATGGTGACCAGTGTGGCCTTCTCAGACCACCAGGACCCCGGACACAGGCTGCTGGCAGCTGGATCCAAGGACCAGAGGATCAGCCTTTGGTCGGTCTTCACTGACAGATGATCAAATATTTCATGTTTTTTTTTTTTACTGCAATTTACTGTAAACTTCACGTTCAGAAGTATTTAATAAATGTTTGAAAAATGTTCTTCAGTTTCTGAAGTTTGATCAAATGTTCTGGTTGATCAAATCTTTTTTTTAATAGTTTTCAAATATTTTGAGTCCTTGTTCCAGTCCTTGACCTGTGACTCTTGGTCCTCAGTCAGTGTCTGGAGCCGGAGCTTCAGACTCCTCACGCTCTGCTCCATAAAGACCCTCTCTTGGGATTTGAACCCTGAGAACAAAGACTGGTCCAGGATCTGGATCTTTATCCTCATTATCATCTGCTTCTAATCTGTCTACCTTCACGTTAGTCCCGGTCTTCATCTAGTCCTGGTTCTGGTCCTGGTCCTGATCTGAGGAGCGTGTGCTGTAAAGCCTGTAAATCACTTTGTGATGGATCATTGAAGAAGACAATAAATGAACAGGGAGGCTGTCAGCTTCACTGGCTGCTCCGGCGGAGGGGCGGGCGGGGGGTGGGGGGGGGGTACTGGTTATTAGGGTCAGAGGTCAGCCTGCTCTTTGGAATGGACACAGTGTTTGTGTATATGTATATATACGTACATATATGTACAATATAATATACATTTATGTATGTATATGACGTACATATATGTACAATATATATACATATATATGTATATGTACATATATGTACAATATATACTTATATATTAGCATGTACATATATACAATATATACACATACATATACATATATACATATATGTATATAGATTTAAATACATATAGAAGTGTATGTTATGCATTTAAATATGTATATATTAAAGCATATATATTATATGAATATATTTGTATTAATGCAGATGTCTATATATACACATATAGATGACTACATATATACAGATATATGTTATGCATTTATATATTTATATATGTATTTATGTATATGTGTTTATATATACACATACAGAACATACATATATGTATATAGGTATATCTGTATATATATCTACATACATATGTGTATATTTGTGTGTGTATATTTATATATGTATAAATATGCGCTTATACATTACAGTATAGACAAATAATTGTGAGTGAATACCAAGGTATGGAGCGACCTCCCCCTTCTTCACCCCCTTTCTCCCCCCAGTGATGCTGATGTTCTCTGTTGAACCCCTCCCCTCACATCAAAGATCTCCTGCTGGGTCAGTGGTCAGTGGTTTGGTCCAGAAATGCCCCTTCACTGTTCCCCCACATGGGGTCCATTTGCCCCCGGCCCTTTTCATCAAACTGCACCTGTAGTGAAGGAGGGGTAGAAAAAAAAAAAAAAAAAGATCCAAACGACACCTGAGGGGAATTAGCATGGTTTAACCTCTGACCCCTCCATGAGCCGGTGCGCAGGTCCGATGACCTCCGGTGACCTCTGCCTCCGCGGTCTCCACGACAGCTGGGTTCAGGGGCCGTGATACATCATTAGTTCTGGATCCAGACCACAGGAACCCTGACAACAAAGTTTTACTGTAGCGCCCCCCCCAACACCGCCGTCGCCGCCCCCTGGGGCGTGGGGGGCAATCGCAGCAGTTCATCCTTTCCATAAC